TTGCTTAAATACAATTCTGTCTGAGTCCCTAAACTGCTACTATGGCATCATTGCTTCCACAAAAAAAGCTGCTTACAATGATGAGGCCAGGGAATATCTTTTCTATTCCTATTAATTAGGGAGCTAATTCCCCATCCAGAAAAGGGTAGCTTGCAATTGAGTAAAATAATGAAACCATCTGTGTTCTGAGTTATTCAAAACTCAGACATTTGCTTATTGCATTTCCAAAGAGAGTAAAGGTTGAGACCATGCTACTCTTCAGAGGTTATTTCTGAAACTATATGTTCTAAAACTTAAAACTGAAATCCTTCTATCTAAAACAATCATATGTAGGCAAATTTATTACATATTTCTTAGGGCTTGATCCAAAAAGAATGTTCTCCCTATGGCTGCTAGCCCATATAAAAGCGCAAAAAAGCCTTTGGGGCTCCACAGCTGCAAGAGAGATTTGCATATTGAGAGATAGGTGAGGCTGGTTGCAAGCTTTTTGACAACACCTTTTTTAATTAGGAAAGAAAACATTACTAGATGGTGATTTCACTCAGGTCTTCTTTGGAAATGGTTCCCAGAATAGAATTTCTGGTGAAAATAGAAGGGAAAAACCAATTCCAGAGCAGAGAAGCTGGGTCTGAGGATTCACATACCTGTGCTTCATTTAGATCAAGGATCTTATCACTAGGTGAATTCTCTGACAACGTATCACAGGTTACAGTGGAGGAAAGAAGAAGGGAAACAGTGGGGAGGAATGAAAGGCAAAGTGACAATTTCTCAATCTCTCTCCCTAAAAGTGTGTCACCCCATATAAATAATGTAATATTAATCAGCATACAGGCTCAAACCTCATTCAGCCCTGACTGACACTATAGAGTCTGAAAAATTTATATGAAAATATTCCAGGACCAGCTAAAAAATGAAGTAAATTCTATCAGAAAAAAAAACAAACCTAGCAGGTCCCACTTGCTAGGAAACATAGGTCTAATAACCTCTGAATTCAACTGCTTGGATAAAAACAAAAATCCAAACACACTTGCCTTCCCTCATCAATGACGTTCGTAACTGACTGTGTGAGGGTGGTTAGGTTTCCTTTACACCTTCTGAAAAGTTGTCTTTTGTATTCCTGGACATGAATAGCTCTGAAATCTTGAAGGGACATGTATAAGAAGAGATTATTCTCCGCTCAGCTCCATCCAAAAGACAAAAGATGAAGGACATGAAGCGCCAGTAGGAACTGGTATCCACTCCCTCAGGTTTACAATTCTCTTGATTCAACTGCCTATCCTATCTATCATCATATCAAGATATGTATATCAGCATATCAGTATTGCTATTTCTTACTCTTATTTTAGCAGCTTAAAAAGGCTGCGTTCAAAGATTTTGAGCAACATGGCAACAACTGGAAACGGCAGTGTTAATGCTGGTGTATGAATAAATCAAGTCTGCCAAGTAGTAACCTCATACCAGTGGCAGGTAGCAACCAACCTTATTAAAGTCAAACAGTTGTGGCCAGCAGGCAGTAAGCAAGGAAAAGGAAAATAAAGCAGAACAAATCCCAGAAATTCCTTTACTAGAAGAATTGGCTAGTAAGGATTTTATCACCCGAGACCAAATTGTAATGGCTGGTGTCAATATCATTAGCCTACTAGTAGTTCTAGAAGCTTTTCTCTTTTTACTCACCTTCATAATTTTCTTATGTCTAACAGATTAATTTACTGAAAGATCATTCCCTCTGTCTTCAGTACACATCCTCCCACACCTTTGCAAGTATTTCAAGACTCACATTAAAGAAGGCTCATTCTTTAGATTTTTTTAAGCTATATAAAAGATCTATGGGACTCGCAGTGAGCAAATAATACAGCACTACACTGAGACTGCCACACTAGGTCTCCTTCAACAGCCTGCCTTCAGCAGTAGCCCTGAGCAGATGCCCAGAAGAATATTAAGAAACAGGGCAGGCCTAAAGTATTTGGTTTTGGTTTAATTACTGATGTGGACAAACTCTTCTCTCTCCAGTTTAGTTCAGTTCAGCTCATCTATCTATCTGGAACCTACCTAACAATCCCTGTGGAGAAGTGACATTTACAAGCCAGCTCTCAGAAAAGCAAGTTTCATACTTTAGAAATATACCACATGAAAGTTATTGAAAAATAAAACTTAGAGGAGGATATCCCTGGATCTTGCTACAAAAGCAACATACCACTTTCACCAGAAGCTATACCATCTCAATACTGTATTATGCTATCAAAGTATTCAGTGTATTTTTAGGAACATATTGTAAAGAATTCCAGCAAGTGCTCTTAATGTTCTTTTGTTTGGCAAGTGACATTACCCTCCCTCCATGGTTAAGACAGCAAATTACCAGACACCCTAAAGAATGCAATAGTCTAGCCAAAACTAGAAAAAAACCACTTTTAACGCCAGCAGCCTAGCCAACTACCACTCAGTTTCCAACCTCCTCTTCCTTGGCAATGTCTTTGTGAAAGTAGTGGCATCCAAAAGCTAACAGCACCTATACCTTGCCAGCGCCCTGGCTCCTTGACATACAGGCATCAGACCAAAACGTGATAGAAGAACAAACCCTCCTGGCACTGCCAGTCCGCATGCTCCTGGCCGGGGACAGAAAACAAACCTCAGAGTGGATATCCTCTGGGGCTCTGACAGAAGTGACTGCCTGGTTCTAATAACAAGACTCACGTGGACTTTAATAAGAAAGCTCAGCACAGCAGTCTTTTTATCAGACAAACTGAACAGAGTGCAAATCCCTCATTCTCCTGCACAGGCCCAGAAGTCCTGTATTTTGCAGCTCCACAAACCTTAACACTTTCGTCCTGCCAGTTTAACCCTAAGACAGTATCACACAGGGAAGCTGAATGATGCTAGAAGTTCATGCATCCTCAAATAGGCAGATGATATTCAATTATGCCCCTGTCTCTGCTTAAATGAAGGGTTTCAAGAGAAGCAAGGCACAGCTTCCATTTTCTGTCCCCACTTGGCAGTAGATAAAGGAATAATCCTTCCAGCAGTGACTCCAAAGCATGAGAAAGTGTTATGCTCATATTTCAAGCAGAAAGTTTCATGATGAAACCAGAAACAGATTTCTCTGCCCTCTACCTCCCTCTACCTTCTGGGACACCGGAGTTTGTCAAACATTAGGGCATCTGGTCTTGCCCCACAAGGCTGCCAAAAGAAAGCCTATATAGCTCATCTGCTGCCCTCCCTAGGGCTGTGTTGCTGGCAGCAAGATTACTCCTTGCTGGGGTAGCCTGGGGTTGAGACCGAGGGTTGCTGAGATTGGACTCACTAGAGGATGTGATTAGCACTGGAGAAATATGTACTTCCACCTTCCTACTCAAAATGCTAAATGGTACTTTAAAAACAGAGTTTTAAAACACGTTGAGGGTGAGTTTCCAAACCCTGTCTTCAGCTTCCCAAACCCTGAGGCTACAAAGGATCCTTCAAATTGAGGAGGGGCAATGCATTTGGCTTTTTGTGAGCTCACAAACAGAGATATTCTAAAATAAGAATAAATACTCTACAGCTAAGTGTGCCAAGTTTTACAAAACTGTTATTATCTGTGAGGAAATTTTTCAGGCTTGTTTTAGGTGTAAATTTGCTGGTTTGGGTTTTTAAACCACTATCCTACATAATTTATGTCATATATTTAATAAAGAAATAAAAGCCTACTCATAACATCCCACACAGTTTGGAGAGAAACAGCATTGAAGTCACCAGACAAAAGTGATTTCAAGCCTGCATCGTCTCTTGCAAAAAAAAAGTCACATTAAAAATCACTTGAAAAAGACCTTACCGTATTATTTGACTTGTTCTGCCCTCATATCTCTAAAACATATCTGCAATCTTCCAGCATATATTTTCTGTTTTTATATTACAGGAATTTGGCTTTTTGTATAATGACCTATGATGGTTCTCCCATTTTTGGGTGTCCACATGCAACAGACATGACCTATTCCACCACATGTAGAGAATACTTTCATCATTTGCACAGTAAAAAACTGTGCAGCCACAACACAAGCCATTTTCACTGATGTTTGGGCCAATCCAGAAAATATTCATATATATGTTACAGCCCAGCATCACACAAGTACTTCTTGGTTAGAGTATGGTTCATTTTGCACTCAGAAAAAGACCAAACTGAGTTATCTGAAGCTTATTTCAAATAGACGCTTCTTGTGTGAGTCAAAATGAGAAGATACATCATGACGGTGGTGGCAGGAGTCACCCCTTGCTCATTAAGAAGTGATAGTATCTCTGTCACACTTGTTTGTCTTACTCTGATAAAATTCATAAAACAACAAAGATTTACAAGATTTATTAGCACAGCCCAATTATTAGAATGATGACTCATGAAAATACAAAGAACCTTTGGTCTAAACAGTGTGGAATGGCAAAGTCTGGGTTTGATTTGCTCTTGAATTTTTATTTTTAGAGAACCTTTGAAAGAATTCTTTACATTGACATCTCTCTCAAAAAAAAAAAATCCAAACATCACTAGCATGACCCCTTAACAGTGTGTTCAAAAACTGCTCTGAGCTGATATGAAAAATATAAAAAATGAACTTATTTTAATTTTATAATGCACATATAAAATAAGAGTAAAGAACATGATAGCTCAGCTCACAGACTTTAGAGGTAGGTCCATTGTGTTTTGTCTGAGATAAAAGAATAATAGTAGCATTTGAAAACTTTTATAAAAGTAAAGTTATTTGGTATCTTGTCTTCTCACTCCTCTGTGTATCCCCACTTACAAAATTTTAAAACACATGAACTGAAAGAAAAATTCCTTAGATTAAATTAATGTTGATGAAACTATGATTGAGGTATTGCCAGTTTAAAAGAACTAAAATAATCACAGTTTGTCCTGATTATATGTACTTACCAGTGCAAAATACGTTGTTGACCAATTTTCCTCTCTTTAACTATTAACAGTAGTATCTTTGTTCTCAAACAATGTTAGATGAACATGTTCTGGAACTTATATTTACCTGGTGGATTCTTGGCAGGATCATTGTGGCTTGGACTTCCTGGTTGTCCAGAATCTATAAAGAAATGAAAGAAATGTTTTACTGATTTGTTTTGAAAGTATCTCACAACCTCTTAATACCCTCCTTCAATATTAAGCTAATACTTAACTTTGTTCTTTAAAGGTCATTTCCCTGACTTTCTACATGAAGGCATTATTGAACAAACATTCTATATGTAACCCATTTTATGCAGAAGCACAAACGTTGTGAAAGATGCAATGATCCTCATAAAAGGAACTCATAGATCAATGAGTAAGGACAAGAGAGTCATTCAAGTAAATACTCAAGTTGTAAACACATCTACAAGTGTACCTTTTCATTCGCTTTCTCTCCATCCCCCAAACATAATACTACATCATTGGTAAAACAGAGGTAGCTTCTTCTCAGGAAGTTACCAGAAAGACATACTGGATCAGGCAACTTATGGCATTTGCAGTGATGAGTCATGTTTCTTTATCCTTTCTTTAAAGCACAAAGAGCCATGCTGCTTCCACAGACGCAGGACTGCGTGGAAGATATGACTGTCCATTTTAATACAATATAGGCTTTGTGCTCCTAGTCTGTGAGGACTGATGCTGTGAAACTAAGATTATGTAACATAAAAACTAACAAAACCCAAACCATGTAGACTCCAAATAGTGTCCTTTTCATGACACATGTACCTAATAAATCAAAAGGAGAATGCAATTTGATGTTAACATCCTAAATAATAAATTATATCCTTATTCATAAAAGTGGTTGCTTTTAAAACTAATTTTTGCTGTATTCTCACACCAATAATATAACAAAACCCTGTTCTGCTGCAATAAATTGTTACTAACAAAGACATGACAGACACTGTTGTGTGCAAAAAGAATAAGAAATTAAATGAAGCACAACCATTTGTTCTCTATATAGGTATCTAAAACGGAGCAGTTTTACAGTCTGAATAAAAAAATACCCATATTTTTAAATGTAGTAGTGCTTGTTAGTAACATAGGACCTTCAAAAGATTTCATCACAGCACTACAAAAATTGCTACTGGTAAATGGACCCCAGAAGGAAATCAGACTTCTTGAATGTATTGCTGCTTACAGTGTCCAAATTAAAAAGACAGAAAAGGAGAAAAGTGCATATCAGCAAATACTTGTCTGTCAACCCCCATCACTTCTTCTTAAAGCCAATGTAGCCCTCAACCTAGGAGGAAAGATTCCCTCCACCTGAAGTTCATTGAAATGTTACCATCTGTTATGTAGTTTAGTAAACATGGCTTAACACGTCTCTCCAGGAGTTTAACACAAGTTCGATTCTACAGAAGATATTATTTGAGATGGAAATCCATTTCACAGTTCAAGTTCTACTGAATTCATCTGAATGATGGTTGTCAAAGAAGACAAGCATCTGAGGATCTACAAGAGTATGGGATGACCAAGGCACATGAGAAACTCAGTTCCGATGGTATTAAAAAACATAAATTTTCCGATACTGAATGAAATAATTCTTGCACACAATAAAGTCACACTGGATAGCAAATTTCCTCTGTCTTCTTCAACCCTGGGTAGGAAGAATGAAGGGCAGGCCTCCCGCTCAGATTCTTGCACATGCCATGGTTTGGACACCTGGGTACTTTTAAGAGCCCCACTGTAGATCACAATATGCAGCCATTCAGTATGCCTGCTTCTTGTCATTATATGATACAGCACACCCCTTTAAAAACTCAAATCAAGTTAATTTGAAGACTCAATCAGCTATAAGAAATGCTAAAAATATGATGCTTCTCTGCATACGGGCCTTTATATGGACAAACATCCTTTTTCCTGTGTTGCAATGGGAAGGTTCACCCTGCAGGGGGTGGACTTTAATATTCTTCTAATAGGCATTCTCTGCTTCTGCAAACCATACATATTATTATTTAAATCATCGGAGAGGATTAATTTTACATAGCAACGGTCCAAGAGTAAAACTACTGCAGACTACTGCAGATGTGTGGCTAAATGAAGTGTCAGTTTTGTAACAGATGCACTCACTAAAGCTTGGACAGTGTAGCTTGGGGAACACAGAGATTTGAAACTGGATTAATGAAGCCTAACAGAAAATAGCCATTGAAGTTTTCTCCTATTAAAATTCACTAAAAAGATGCACAAAGTGAAGAATATTTTATAGGTCTTTCACAGCAATTTGCTTTTAACCCTACTTTCTCACTGTCAACATGGCCAATTTCTGGATCCAGGATTTAAAGACTGATGGTAGTTTAAACAACTTTTTTTCATATGAAAATAACATACACTTAGCAAAGAATTTTCCAGTCATAGGGATAAGCACATAGCTAGCTATTATAGTTTCCCAGTCAGACTGAGCTTTGTTTCATATTAACTCCTTATCAATCACAATTTCTACAGGTTGATTCTCACACTGTGTTTTGAGCAGTAGATGCTACTTACATAATTTGCCAGTGGGGTCTCGATGATCTTGAGAAGGCACAGAATTATTGTAAGCTGAATACAAGAAGCAATTTATCTAATCCTTCTCTCAAAGTAGTTGAGAAAGCAAAGAATTGTATTCTGTATGAGAGTATCAGCTATGTAACTAAAGCACAAAGAAACACCTCATTCTCGGGATGAAAGACTCAGAACTGAGATGGCCTGTGACGATCCAATTCTCTTACCAGTGTCAGTCATTATAAAGCACTCTCCTGATTTAGTTGGATGCAAATAGCCTTGCAAAGTACACGAGAACCATGATCATTACAGGAATAAATTATATGAATAAATTTATAAGCAGAACATTGAATTAAAAGAGATAGTGAAGCAATGCTCTTCTAAAAGAGGGAGCAAAGGCAGTTTTGGAAAGCCACAGAAACTAAGGAAGAAAAGACATGTTAAGACACTTTAAATCTTTCTTTGTCCTCATGTGCACAAGATCATTAATTAACAACATGAGCCCTGGGTCTAAAAATTGCAGGCTTTTCTTCCAGTGTGATGGAGAAAGACATAAGCCAGACTCATTGTCTGGCTAGCTGGGTTTGCATTCAGTTTTCCCACCAAATAATACTGTTCACATTGGGAAAAAAAAAAAAAAAAACAAAAAAAAAAGCTTCCTAAACTAGAATTTGTAAGCAAAGCTATACAACTAGTAGCAAATAAAACCCCATCATGTAAATGTGATGAAACCAACATTTTCAACATTGTCATTTATGTAGCTCCCAATTCTAAGTTCCCTTAGCTTATTCTTTTTCTTTGGGGTTATGGGGCTTTGTTAGTTTGTTTGTCTGCTTGTTTTTAAAACCTCCTTCTCAAATTTTAATGTCAATGTGCTTTTCTTGAAAAAATTCTTCCACATAGATCTCAGAAGTACTTATCCTTATTTGCTACAGAGTAAAAGCACACCTACACAAACCTTTTCCACAGAATGGCTTTCATATGCACCTCATCGCTACAGTGATACTTCTGCTTGTCTCTTCTTGGTGCTGACTGCTACGACAGTCAGTGGCTGATGCCTTGATAAGTTATTGCCCCATGGATGAACAGTTTATATGAGAATGGTTCAAGCCAGCCTTTACTCTTCTGGTGGATATTCATGTAACCTTGATACATTTTGTGTATAATTTATCCTGATTCAGCACAGATACCACCAGGACACTCAAACACTTTATCTCAAATTAATCTTTCTTTTAGAAGACGGTATGAAAGGATCAGTCAAGAAGCTGGTATATTTTATACTGAACTGTTTCGAATGTTTTCATTCCTAGGGGTCAATCCCAATGAGTATCTGTGAGTGCAGGCAACTCTCACTACCACCGGAGTTAAGTAAAACTGACTGTCGGGGCCTGCTGCTGGTGAGAAGAAAACATCCATTTCCCCTGACATACATTAGGAGAAAGGTGCTGCCACAATACATCACTCTTAGCTCCATAACGCAAAAAAAAAAAAAAAAAAAAAAAAAAAAAGAGCTGATGGTTTGCTATCGGTGAGGGACAAGATGCTCTGTCATTTTGCACAACGTTCTCTTTGACAAGCAGCAGCAGGAAAAATGCACACTCCAGCAAAGCCAAGAAAGTCACACTGCTGTTCACCAGCTTCCTGAGGGATTTTTAGTATTGCTCACCTCAGTAATCTAATCTTTCATTTTTCAATTGATAAAAGAGGATACTATCTTTAAAAAGTAAGTTATGCTATACCTCCCTTGTGTCCCATACTGTACAAGGAATTTTGCTTTTAAGGCTCTCTGAATTAGCATAACATTGAAGGCCTTGAAAACAAAAAGAGACAGAATCTGTAAAAAGAAAGAACACTTTCTTGAGTCATGTCTTAGAAATAAGCAGATTCTCCACAGGTGTCATACTAATCAAATAAACTTCCTCAGTGGTTTCAGTGAACACATTTCACTTTTCATTTGCCACAGGCTAGGAGTCAGCCTTTGCACTCAGTTAATCTCAGCTGACAGACACTAATTTGATCACTCAACAGCATGTAAATACACCCTTGTTCTTCGATAGTTCATGATTCAGGTACAGGGGAGGATAAAGGACCAGAGAGATGTGGCACCATGTAAATATCAGTTTGATGCTGTTGAAGCTTTCACATGCCTATGTGGCATCTGACCTGACAGAGTCATTACCATGAACGAGAACCACAACTATCTCCCAGACTGCCACCCCTCAGGGTTACATTGCCACCTGACATCACAAAATTTTGGCAATTGATTGTACCCCTGAAACCACAGGATCATAGGACACCCCAGTCTGGTGGGGTCCTGAGGAGGTGTCCAGTCCTAGCCCCTGTCCAGGGAAGGCTCAGCCGAGGGATCAAATTTGGCTGCTCAGGGCTTTACAAAGCCAGGGCATGAAACCCCTCAAAGATAGAGACAGTCCAACCTCCCTGGGCCCCAGGTCTACTGCTGGGCTGCTCTCATGGGGGAAAGACTTTCCAAATCAACTCTTCATCTTCCAAAGACTTCCAGAATGTTGTCATGGTAGGAAAGCATTCATGGCAACAAAAAAGCAAGACATCTCCCTCTCCTCCAGAGCAAATAA